TATCCGATAATTCCAAAAAAATTTTCATCTCGGTTATAAGTTATAAACGGTTAAACCCAGTTATAAATGTGATTACGATAACCGGTTCCAACCTCTATATATGCCCCGCATTTATGTCCGGATATTTTTTATGCTATTGGACTGGGCTGGACAATAATAGTCTAATGTCCATTCTCCAATATCCAGCCCAACACTGTATATACCTATTTTTAAGTAACGAAATATGTAGTTCAAAATAAATTTTAGTACATCATTTACAAAATTACATTAAAATATTATATATATAATGTTTTATATATATTGTGCCTCAAATCGGTTCTTGCCTCAGGTAATAATAACTGAGGCGTCTCTCAGTTATCATCTGAGGCAACTACGATTAATTCTTATTATTCGACGTTATATTAACATTTTAAATACTGATACAAGGTTTTAATAAAATAACTAAAGGATACTATTTATAATATAACTTGAAAATATTTCTGATATAACATTTGACGTTTTTATAAATTTAATTAGAGTGTTTTCAAGCAGAAAATTTAGTCCTTCCCCTGAATAGTTGTTTGACCATTGCTATAGTGCGTCTTATGAATAGCTCATGTTATGCTTCATGATGCACAAAAAGATTGCAATTGTATATCAGAAATCAGAAATAACGTGACACAAATAAAAAAGGAAACACAACAATAAAATCAGCTTTGATCGTATCAACAGAGTTTAAGCATCGGAATTATGCATTTCAAGTTGTGCCTATGTATCATGATAAGTAATAATAAGCAATAGTTAATAACTAACCATAACGCGAATCTGAAATAATCAAAATAAATGCTCTTTAGGAGATTTCTACATCTTCAGCGCAGAATTCATTGAATTATAATGTACAGAATTTGTAGAGTTTAATTTTATCACGAATGGAATTGGTAATTTATTTGCCACAGGATCATCGCGGCATATCGGTTAACCTATCATAACAAACCTAAAAATAATCATTTAAAATTATTTTGTACACCTTAGTACGTAATAGGAATGAATTCCGATTATAAAATTTCTAAATTAGAACAATATTGTAAAGTTGAGTCAAAAAATATATCTTAATAGTAAATAGATAAGTTTGCCGATTATATCAATATTGTCAAAAAGTATGTTACAATGCCAGTCAGACATATATTGTATTTTTCAGTATTTATTAACGAAGCATTTGATTCATTTTTGTTGATTTAGTTCGAATCACATAGTAAAAATGTCTTCGAATAATGAAAATGACCGAGTTCCAATAGAATGGGGTACCTTCGTCCCATACGAATCGATTGAAAATCTCCATAATGCTGCCAAACATTTTGAAATAGACGTATTGAACTCCTGCGAGTATGTATAATTTAAAAATGTATTCATTGTTATTTCATTTGTCAAATTTCATCATAAATAATTAAATTTTTCTTAAAAGATGGGTAGCAACTGAAAAAATTGATGGAGTAAATTTTTCTTTCCATACCAATGGTCATGAAATCAAATGCGCTCGTC